CCTCCTCCTCCCTCCTCCTCCTCCTCCTCCTCCTCCTCCTCCTCCCTCCTCCTCCTCCTCCTCCTCCTCCTCCTCCCTCCTCCTCCTCCTTCCTTTTCCTTCTTGGCGCTGTGCAGCGGGGGGAGCCTCCGAAAGAGGCGCGCAGACTAGACCCAATGCTGCCTGTCACCGTCTTGCCCGAGTTGAAGCATCGATCGAGCGAGTGTACCAGCCAGCATCGCTGCTAGGACAGGAACGCGTGCACCAGCACCGATCCAGCGACGGGTTGCCAGACAGACTGTACCTCATCTTCAAAATATGGCTATTGCTTCAGCGCCGCGCAGGTACGTGCAAAGCATTTACAACACTTTCAAATATTAGAATCATGGCGATCGTCCCAGAAATAATGCTTTGGCAAGATGTCGGACTGTCAAGGCGCAACAATTACTTCGATCCGTGGTGTTGAAATCCCACGTGTGGTGTTCTGGCACAAGAATCGTAGAAATGCAACAACAACGGTCATTCGCGGCACAGTTCGGGATTTTCAATCGGTTGCTTTGCAATGGACACTTCCTTCAGTGAAAATGCATCCTTGCAGGGGGCCATGAACATGAATATCTGTAGGGTTTAGGTTTGCACGGGTGCTCCTTCTAGGGGGGACACGCTCTGAACGTATCCTTTTTCTGAGCTGATGCGAAGGACTTCTACCTCGGATGTGCGAGGTGCGGGGCCTACGCTTCGAGAGATTTGCGTCGCTCGGCTAGGAATTGCCATGTAGGTTTCTCGTCGGATGGCCACCAACACCGCCGGAGTCGGATGTTGAAAGGGCAGCATCCACGGACTGAGGAGGGGAAGACCTTGTTTTGGGCCTCCCTGGGTCCACGGGGTGCCTCCAGCGGGCAGCCCGCCAACAGTGTAGCGCAATGGAAGCCAACAGCAGCAGCAACGGGAGCAGGGGGTAGAGGCGGAGCCTCCCTCGTGCGAGTGCGCGGCCGCCTGTCATCGCGCATTGAGGGGTAGAGCGAGGCAGGGTCGGATTCCACTTAATGGTTGTCAACATCAGCCCCCTCCTCCTCATTCTCGCCCTTCCCCCCTCCTCTTCTTCCTCCTCCTCCTTCTCCTCCTCCTCCTGCTTCTGTTCCCCCTCCCCCATCCCCCTCCCCCTCCTCCTCCTCCTCCTCCTTCTCCTCTGCCCGCTTCCCCGAGATTGTTTGTTTTGTTGTTCAGTCCTTTCGGGTAACGGTCGTCACCCACGGGGGTGGGGTGGGGTGGGGGGTTGGGGCCCGGGGTGAGGGTAACGCTTGGGCGGGGTGGGGCTCGTCGGGGCGGGGGTGCGCTGCGATCGCCACAATATGCGCACGAGTACCAACATGTGGGGAAGGGGTCGAGCCCCCCCCTCCACACACACACACTCCACACATACATACACATACACATACACATACACAACACACACACAAAACACACCACACAACACACAACACAACACACACAGCACACACACAACCCACACACAAACACACACACACACAACACACACAACATACACACCACCCACACACAAACGCACACACACCAACACACACAACCATACACAAACACATACGAGCACACACACACACACAAACACGCACGCACGCACGCACCCACGCGCACGCGCACGCGAACGCGCACGCGCACGCGCACGCGCACGCGCACGCGCACGCGCACGCGCACGCACACGCACACGCACACACACACACGCACCCGCACCCGCACCCGCACCCGCACACGCACACGCACACGCACACGCACACGCACACGCACACGCACACGCACACGCACACTCAGTCACGCACACGCACACGCACACACTCACACGACAACACAAACATCCACTCACAGGCGCACCGCCCGCAATCCCCATCCCCCATCCCACCGCTGTTCTCATTTCATATCATGACACGACGTGCACACATGCCGTCTGCAACACCACACACACCGCACACACGCACAGTACCCACAGAACCGCCCACTTCCCACGCGCACACGCTCACACGCGCACAGACGCGCACAGTGACGCTGCACAGAACGCGCACAGACTCGACACAACGGCGCGCACACTCCGTGTCTCCCAACAAGCGCACACAAACGCACACGCGTGCAAACGCGCACAACGCGCAACGCGCACACACACGCACACGCGCACACACGAACACACGCACACACGCGCACACGCGCATACACGCACATGCGCACACGCGCACATGGGCACACACGCGCACACACGCGCACACACGCGCACACACGCACACACGCGCGCACACGCGCGCACACGCGCACACACACGCACACACGCGAACACACGCGCACACACGCGCACACACGCGCACACACGCGCACACGCAATCACGCACACACGCGCATACAAGCACACACGCGCACATACGCACACACGCACACACGCGAACACACGCGCACACACGCGCACACACGCGCACACGCGCACACGCACGCACACACGCACACACGCACGCACACA